TTAACGTGGCGTCAAAGGGCGCCACCTAGCCCCGATGTCTCCGCGCGAAGTGCAAAGTGCACCTTACAAAGTGCCACTTAGCTCCTCAGCTCGATTAGCCCCGATCACCGACCTATTGCCCCACACCCCACAGCCCACAGGCCATGACCCACGGCCCACGACCCACTAGAACTTATGAGGAATTAATTGAATAAAATAATTCTCGGCTTGTCGTTGGCAAGCCTCAAACACAGGACCTTTTGAGATATCAAAACTTTAACCTTTCACTACGCTACTAAGGATTTCTAAAAAATACCAGTAGTTAATAAATACATAGTTTGAAAACTTATTTTTGGAAAGCGGTTTTGACCAAAAAAATCCAACTACCCCCACAAGTTTTTAAACTAGTATAATGTAACGGTGCCGTTGTTTCAATCGTTGTGCATAAGGTAGATATCGCAAGGACTTGAATCCCCTTTAGATCAACTGAATAAAAAATATGCATGATGTCATAGAGACTTGAATCAGCACATGTATAAAAATCCAGCGATCACACAAGATTAAACTCATCTGTGGTAGTTTTCACTTTGAACCACACTTGCATTTACCTTTGCCTTAGCCTTGCACATTTATGACCCTAGGCATGTCCTTGTTTCTGCTAGCGCTCTAGGTATTTTTCCACAAGACACCATAGGAGATGGCCAAATCTCCATCTAGGCATAGGTGAGTTTTTTAGGCATGTTTCCTATCAAACATCCCGTATCCGAGATGCTTTGAACTCATTAAGGCTTAAGAGTCATCCTCTCTCATGATAGGATTCTAGGTGAGTCTTTTAGACGTGTTTCCTATCTAACACAACCGTATCTGAAATGCTTTGGACTCATTAAGGTTTAACAGCCATCCCCTTTACATGATAGGATCATCAATGAGTTCTTTAGTCATGTTACCTATTAAACAGCCCGCATCCGAAATGCTTTGGACTCATTAAGGCTTAACAGCCATCATCTATATCGTAATAGGATTTTAATTGCAAATCTTACTTAACTTTTGAACCAATCATCTTATCAATAGTAGCGTAAGATTTGAACTAATAACTTAATATAAATGATAAGTATTTGTAAGACTCACCAAACTTTGTAAATCTTGACTTTTGAACTAATTATCTTACCATTAGTAGCATAAGCTTTGAACTAATAATTTGATGTACATGATAAGTATTTGTAAGACTCACAAAACTTTGAGACCCATTCCAACAGACGTCCTTTTGACTATATCCTTTTTTTAGACCCTTAGTCAAAGGATCAGCCACATTCTCTAAAGACCGGACGAATAGTCCGCTTCTTTCTATTAAACATCGAGTTCGCTGTCACAGCACTCACCGCCTGATTATCACAATAGATAGTAATTACGCCTTGTAATTCTGTTAATGAAAGATCTCGGAGAAAACAACTGAGCCACTCGGCTTAATCTCTTGTAGCACAGAGTACGAAGAACTCAGATTCTATCGATCACTGTGCAAAACGAAGTTACGGAGCAGAAATAGACTTGTCGGAAAACACGAAGACCGCGCCGACCAATGGGAATAGCCCGCACTGTTCACAAAAAGACCACCCTCCGTGCCCTCGACCACTCTAAAGAATCCAACCATCAGAGTGGATCGAAACTCTTCGCATGCATCCAACGACCGGAATCACTCAAAATCCGAGTTCGTACGAAGAATCTATCGGGGACGACCCAAAAATGCACTACGGACTTGCTCGGAATCCGAACACCCCCGGGGTGTCTCAAGAAAGTCCGAGACACCCCAGGGGTGTCTCGAATTTTCGAGACACCTAGGGTGTTCTCAGAAAGCGAGACACCCTAGGTGTCTCGAATTTCCCAAGACCACCCAAGGGGTCTCGAAATTTCCGAGACACCCTAGGGGTGTCTCGGATTCCCGGAGAGCACCCCTAGGGGTGTCTCGGAATTCGAGACACCCCAAGGTGTCTCGGAATTTCCGAGACACCCTAGGGTGTCTCGGATTTTGGAGCACCCCAAAAGGTTGTCCCAGAATCTTGCGGAACCCCTGGGTGTCCTCATGATCTGTACGGACTGCCACCTCTTGTTTTCCTATAAATAGGACCCCCCTTACTGCATTTGAATGATCTGGATTTTGGAGGCCTCGGCGAAGCCCCTGCTGCACAAACACTGATCGAGCACTTCACCCGAGGAGGAGAGGTCTAAGATCACCTTCATCACCCGTTCTCGATCCTTCCTTAGTATTTAGCCTTTAGCGTTAATACTAAGAAAGTAGCTATTACTCGCTTTACCGAGGTATACGCTTAGAACTTCTCGGCCTTGGCCGAGACACCCCATGGGGGGTGTCTCGGCCATGGCCGAGACACCCCAAGGGGTGTCTCGGTTTTGGAGCCGAGACACCCCCCTAGGGGGTGTCCTCAACCAGCCCCCTACCCCTCTCCTTTTCCTATAAATAGGCCCCTAGGGCCTCCATTCTCTTGGCCTTGGTTTTGGGAGAGAAATTTCAGATCTAGAGCTTTAGCCTTTGAGATCTGAAATTCCAGAGAGGAGCGGCGAAGCCCTGCCGGAGGAAGGAGTCGGGGTTTTCTAAGAGAGCGGCGAAGCCCTGCCGGATTGAGGAGTAAGGATTTCTTCATCAGCCCTTCATTCACCCCCCTTCTTTTCCCTTAGTGTTGCCCTTAGCGGTGATACAAAGGAGAGCTAGTGCCTCGTTTTAGCCGAGACATAAGCTTTACACCTCTGAGATCTCACGCGGATCGACGGGGTTCTGTTTCTATATCCCTTCGCGGATAGACGAAACTCTGCCGGATTATACCGGAAAAGAGATCTTGAAGAGTCGGCGGTCCACGGATATCAACATCCCCGTCACAGGCCAACAACCCACGCAAGCGAGACCGCACCAAACCGGGACCTCGTGTTTATTTTCGTTTAAGTTGTAATATCTTTTGTTTTCATTTTATTCTGTTGTAACGCTTGAAGTTGTAACAGATCTCAAAAAGAGAATATCAATGAAAACAGCGACTTTTACCGAAAACAAGCTGGCGACCACAGTGGGAGCCAACGATCTCGCCCCCGAGATCGTCGTGACGCAACCGGCCTTCAAGATCCGGGTGAATGAAGAGGTCGAATACGAGTTCGACCAGAAGAAGTTCGAAGAATACCTCTCCTCTTCCTCCTCCAGATCTGCCTCCCCGAACCGGCGCAAGAAGACATCCGCTTCCAAGAACGTTCGTGGGACTTCCAACTCAAAGAACCAAGAGCCCTCCGCTGCCTTTGCACCACGCAACGTCCCCATGTTGCTCAGCATGGTCAAGACAGCAAATCCAGCTCTCCCATCAACCTCAAAGGCGATGGATGATGCAACTCCGATTCTGTCCAAAAGGGCACTCCAAAGGCGTCGTCAACGCCTTGCTCAACAACTCGCCAAGGCCAGGGAGTCAAAAGATGGAGTGCGCTATGCAGAGGACTTGAAGTCAAGGCAGCGACAAGAGCAACGGCAAGCAATCAACCTCCCCTCCAAAACAGAAGCGAGTGAGTGGATCCGTGTCAAGAGGAACCGCTCCACGCTCGAGGAGCGAATCAAGAAGCGCCGTGCTTTACTTGCGCATGCCCGACTCCTCCTAAAGAAGGCGGAAGAAATGCAGCAAGAAACGGCGGTCAAAGCGCCGACCACAAGCAAACGGGTGTGGGTTCCCAAATCGAAACCAACACTTCCAGCAAAGAAGGGTGAAACCATCGCCCAAAGCTCCTCCAAATCAGGTCATGTTTCTACTATCCCGGCACCTTCAACGGCGCCAAGTAAGAAAGGGGATCATTCAAGATCCCAGGTTCCTTTGACAGGTCACCTCGGTCCCTTACCGGCGAATCGAGGTAGAGTACCCGTCAAAGAACGACTGGGACCATTGAAAGGTCCCCAAGTTTCAAATCAGACTGGGGGTCGATTTAATCCCCCCAATAAAGAAAACAAAGGGAAAGCCCCTATCACCGACCGCATCGGATTGCGAGTCGAATTAAAAGAGCCCGTTCAGTTCATACGCTCACAAAAGCGTAAGATTGAACGGGCCACTCTTGATAAAACTAACCAAGTGTTGCATTCCCAAGGGGAAGCACACTCATCTGAAGATGAGAGTGTTATACTAAGGGACACCCACCAACACTCTGTAGGGTGCTCCAGCTATCAAGCTGATGAGTTGTACTACAGAGCTGGGGGTGTGGGTAAATCTCGAAAGAGATATGTGCAGGATATGAAGTCCCAATGCCCGTGTGCAAGTATCATCAAGACGGTGCTGTCGGAATGCCGCTGCAACAGTCCCCCAAGAAGAATCTCGGTGTTCGAGAGACTCTCCAAGCCGAGGCATTTCCACAAGAAGAAATTGCTCCGCCAAAAAGACGAGTATTCAAGAGTGTCGGTCAACATGACCGGCCGAGGGGAATCAACACCACACTTCAGCATAGAACAGCTCGCTGAGGTATCCCGGTGTATAGCACGGATGCGGCCCGGAACCAGCGGCCGGAAGGGCTACCAAAGAGTACCAAAGGGCCTCTCTCTGGAAGAAGAAGAATCAGATGCTGATTCAGATACCTGCTCCGCCGTCGCATCAGATGACACGGCTTCAAGTGCGGGCCAGCCGTACGAATCACTCATGATCAGTGCCGAACAAATGAACAAAATGCTTGAAGACGCCCTAACTCGGCAGAAAGAAGCTTTCAAATTCGAGATGGAAATGACCCTACAGCGGATGAGGGAGATGCACGATCAGCAACTCGCAGCTTTGACAACTCATCAAGAGGAGCCCACTCGACCCAATCATCAGAACCAAGAAGAGAATGAACGGGAAGGGAATAATGTCATTATTCCTCCTGTCAACAACGACAACGGAAGTGGTCCGGTAGATGATAATGCCAAAGAAGACCACATTACCTCTCCCCAAAACCACTCGAAAATAGAAACGAGTGAAGACAAAAAGATGAAAGACTTGGAGAGCAAAATCAATGCATTGATGAATGCTCAAGAGGTAAAAAGGTCAGGTATACCGTGTCCATATCCGAGGGAGTGGGAATCCATTCCATATCCGGCAAAGTTTAATCTCATTAACTTTACGCCGTTTGATGGAAAGGGTTCCCCTACCCAACATTTAATCTACTTCAAGTCTCATTTAGGAATTATTTCCGGAAATGAGCCCCTCATGGTGCGGTCATTCGTCGGCACTCTTCGCGGAGCTGCCTTCGACTGGTACCGCCGTCTCAAGCCCGGAAGTATCAACGGCTGGGATGACATGGAGGACATGTTCTTGACCAATTTCTTTGATGATGACACCGAGGTTTCGATCGGCACGCTGTTCGATGAAAAACAGAAGAATGGCGAGACGGTTGAAAACTTCGTGAAGAGATTCCGGAACAAAGCTATGAATTGCAGGGACCCGGTCAGCGAGGAATTCATCCTCGAAACTTGCCACAACAATTTAACATTGGACATCCTTGAAGCCATGGGAACGGCACCGCCAACGACCTGGAAAGACTTGAAGGTGAGAGGGGAAAGAGCCGAGCGACTCCTCAAAAGGAAGAAGGCTGAAAGGGGCCAAATACCAAACAGTGTCCCACAACAGAAGAACTTTACCCCTAGGGGTAAGGGGAAAACACAAGCAAATGCTGTAGATGCGAATCAAGTGTTTGAGGTGCAAGCACAGCCGCAACAGCCACAGCAGCAACAGAGGGCGCCTCAACAATCGAGATGGCAACAACAGCCCCAAAGGCAAAAGGCCGCGGAGCCGAGGTTCCCAAAGACCTACTCGTTCAAGGAGGATGAAATCCCGGGTATCTTCAAATACCTCGTTCAGAACAACAAGATCAAGTTGCCACCGATTCAGGATCAAGAAGATGCCAAGAGGGTCAACGATCCGAAATACTGTGCATTCCACCGAGCGGTGCACCATCCCACCAAGGTATGCTACGCTCTCAAAGATAAGATTCAGGCCCTAATCGATGTTGGGGTTATCACCATGAAGCAGCCCAAAGAGAAGAAAGTGGGTGCAAACATGGTATCCATTAGTTTCGGGACTGTTCCCTCGAGTTGGTTCCAACACGAGCCGGTGATCAATGCAGCAGTGAAGACGGTGAATGATGATCCTCACCAACAGCGCCAGAAAGGGCTCGTGCCACACACAACCCCAAATGGTGAGATTCTGTGGGTTCATCCGGACTTGATCACAGATGAGCAATGGACCGGATCATCATCAAAAAGAAAGTCAAAAGGAAAAGGGAAATCTTGTTATGGAGCTTCTGCCATTCCAGGAGAAGAGGACGACAAAATCCCAACCTTTCCACTGTCTGAAGACGAACAGGAGGTCTTTGCAACCCGAAGCGGGAACGAGTATCACTACAAGTACCCAGACGCTTCCGAGCAATTGGGCACCAAAACCCCTCCTTCCAAAACGTTGGCAGAATTAGGAATCTCAGCAATTCCCCCAACACCCGCATCTGCGGAGAAAGTCCAGCAAAAGGAGAAGGGGAAAGAGCCTCCGCGGCAAGAAGCCCAGAACCCGAGGCAGTCTCGATTCAATCATCCGATTGGTAGAGACAAACCGGGAAATACGAGCTCACCGCCTCATTTCGACATCATGGCGCAGTTGGCCAACATCCCAGCTCGCATAACTCTATACGAGCTGTTGCGCCTTTCAAAGGACACAAGGAAAGCGCTGCAAGAAGCCTTAAGTGACTCTGAAGCTTTTCTGACTCGGATCAAGCCATCTCCAGAAGGACCAGAGCCGTCAGTTCAACAATGCAACCTGGCGGCGCAACACTTTCCCTGCATCTCCTTCACTAAAGAAGATATGCAGACGAAGAATTCAAAGCATGACCGACCGTTGTACTTTACCGGTCACATTGGCTCCAGCGTTGTCAACCGGATCCAAGTCGATCCGGGTTCCGCTGTTAGCATCATGCCATTCCGATTGATGCATCATCTCGGAATCCCGACTAGCAAATTAGCATCCACTGGCACTACGATTTATGGATTCAACACCAGCGGGTCTAGGCCCTTGGGGAAGATCCGAGTCAAGTGCCAGATTGGGGATTTGAGGTCGGAGGTCACTTGTTATGTGATTGACGCGGAAACATCCTATAACTTACTGTTGGGTCGACCTTGGATCCACGGTAACCTTATAGTCCCGTCAACTCTACATCAGTGTCTCAAATATGTAGACACAAACAATGAAGTCAAGACGGTGGTCGCGGATAAGCAACCGTTTAAGGGATTGGAGAATTACTTCACCGATTCCCTTTTATACGGCGCTGAATCCGATACTGAACCATCGGCCCAAGGAACGGACAGCGGAGATGAAGCTGATACCGAACCAGGGCTTGATTATGATGGTGGTTTTGTTCTTAATGACATTGTACCCATTGTAATCAATCTTGACGATGATGAATCATCGGAGAATAGTTGTAACTGGCAACTTGCCGAAGAACTATCAATAAACGATGATTTAGAGTATTTGATGTGTCTGGATGACGTCACTAAAGAGCTTTGTGATAATCCTGACCTACATATGCCTCTTCAGTCATTTTGTCTGACGAAAAAGCAGGTACAAGATCCATGCGGAGCGACGCTTGTCATCCCCGCGGGAAAATGGAGTGGAAAAGAAGTCGTCTACGGCAAAGGAAAAGAAGATCCGACACCCGATCACTTCTTAGAGGAAGAAGAAGACGAAGATAAACCTGCTCCTCATCTATTCAGATATGACGCAAAAGCGCGCGATATGATGGAAAAGTATGGGTATGACTTCACACTCGGAGAAGGTCTTTTCTTTGGTCGAGGCCCACGAGTTCCACCTCGAATGGCCTATGTACCGAAGGGAAAACCCGACGATTATTATCGCTATAAAAGAGGTCTCGGCTACGTCTCCTCGTCCGACGACGAATGTTGCTGGCAAATCATTGATCAGATCGCTAACAAGGCTAGAAACGGGTACTCTTCCGACTCTTCGGCTGGGGGTTCCGACACTAGCCTTGGCGAGACGTTCAAAAGGTTGATGTCAAATATGGTCACGGTCGATCCTACCGCAATAGAGGAAGACGACCAGATGCCAACATGGGAAGATCCTTGGGTTCACCACCTAAACATGCAGTATGGTGATAGGTTCGAGCAAAGAGAGCCTCCTACCGAAGATCAAGTACTCCAGGTGAATATGGGAACTGAGGAAAATCCTAAACCGATATTCATTAGCGATAGTCTTCTACCCGATGAGAAAGAAGAGTTAATCTCTCTTATCAAGGAGTACATTGACGTGTTCGCCT